TCTGAGGCAACAGAAGCATCTACGACTGTAGCAAATGAAGCTACTGAGACAACCGAGACTCCTACAACTGAATCAACTGAGACAACCGAGACTCCTACAACGAAAGCTACCGAGGCATCTGCGACTGAAGCTATTACAACTTCTGAGGCAACAGAAGCATCTACGACTGTAGCAACTGAAGCTACTGAGACAACCGAGACTCCTACAACTGAATCAACTGAGACAACCGAGACTCCTACAACTAAAGCTACCGAGGCATCTACGACTGAAGCTATCACTACTTCTGAGGCAACAGAAGCTTCTTCGACTATAGCAATTGAAGCTACTGATACAACCGAGACTCCTATAACTGAAGCTACTGAGACAACCGAGACTTCTACAACTAAAGCTACCGAGGCATCTAAGAATGAAGCTATTAACACTTCTGAGGCAACAGAAGCATCTACAACTGTAGAAACTGAATCTACTGAGACAAACGAGACTCCTACAACTAAAGCTACTGAGACAACTAAAGCACCTACAACTATGGCTACTGAACCTTCCGAAGCATCTACGACTGAAGCTACTACAAATTCAGAGGCAACTGAAGCACCAACGACTTTAGTAACTGAAGCTTCTGAGGCAACAGGAGCACCTACAACTAAAGCTAGTACAACTTCTGTGACGACAGAAGCAAGTACAACTGAATCTACTGACGCTTCTGAAGCAACCGGAGCACCTTCAAGTAACACTACTGAGACAACTGGTGAACCTACGAATGGCTCAGATTTAACCAGTGTTACTGCCTCGGCATCAACAGTAACGCCATTTGCAACTTCAACTACATCTAAGAAAATGTTATCACGATGTTCATGTTACAAAGAACGGCAATGGAGAAATTAACATTCTTATAGTATTTTTACACTTACCTTATAATCTGATAATTACTCAACCCATCGCATTTTTTTAAGTAAAATCCAAGATAGAGAGACAGAATCTTAAAATTTGATGTTATATAATATTTAAGTTACTACATACATATGTACATAGTTTTATTAAGTGCAAAATGTAGAGAATACTTAATTGAAAATATCAATATAATAAAATGTAAGCTAGTAAGTAAGTTAAGCTTTTTATTTGTAAAACAAAACAGTGTTACTTATTTATTTCTTTTACCCGTAATTCCAAAATTTTAACATTGAAAGTTGGCAAAAATATAAGATGGCGTAAAATAATATTTATACATGTGTTCTACCTATGCACTGTACACGGTTTTTTGTGTATAGGTATTAACAAATTGCTATAAAACTCCACGATTATGTTTTATCGGCGGCAGACGGTGTTCGTCATATCACTATGGTTATGTTTTTATTTTTTATCATTGCTCACATACTCCTTGGAACGAGCGCAGGTGAATAAATTTGTTTTATCATACATTTTATTATACCCAGTTTCGGAAAGCTTAATGAATTTAATAACCCAGAATCTCCTGTTTATAATGAATTAACATGATGATAACAAATTGATATGTCTTTTTCGAAAAAAAAATGATTTAATTTTATATTAATTTTGTAAATAATTATTTACGCATTTATCCTCATTGTAAATTTCCACTGCTAGCGCGCAAGCTCATAAACGTAGTGTTTTCTCCCTCATTCCCATAGCGAAAACAGAGATAACAATAGGACCTATTGTCATTTCTGACCTCTTGTACCTATTGTAACCTATTGTATGCACAGTGGAAACTATAGTGCATGAATGAAATAAAGGGCGTTATCGAAAATGGAATAATTTGTGTCTCCACTCTTTGTCCATATAACAAGAAAAATTGTTCTGATTACATTTTAAATTGAGATTTATTTTTTAATTTTTACTGTGACTCCTTATGGATCTACCAATCGATTACATTTACTATGAAGAATTAATTTCACAGAACGTAGTAATCTTTTTAGTATTACTACATTGGATTGGATTGAGACTGGAAGGTACCGTGGGTACAAGTGAATTTAACTATGTGACAACTTTTAAATAGTCTTATGTTTATATTCACCCATTAGTGCATAACGTTCGATAAATCGGACGCCAATAAAATTGTTATTTTAGGAGTTATATATATTTTACTAACCGTTTATTTGTTTAAACAGTAGTGTAATATATACATATTTGAAGTGGTAATACTGTTGGTATGACATTCCGGGAAGCGATTTATCGGACGGGCTATAAAATCTAAACTTTCATATTAATTAAATATTTTATACAATTTAATAGTCAAATACACTCGAAATGAAAATATATTACAGTGATCATAATGAAAAAAGGCGTTAATAAACTTTATGCACTAATGGGTTAAATTATAAGTTAACTTTAAGTTGTCTGAATAGTAAAATAAAAAAAATTAACTTCAGGTATCATATTTGTCGTATCATTATTTTATTTGTGCTGTAAAAAAATTCAATGTAACCTGTTTGTCGTATTAAACATATTCATGTGTACACGTGAATATGTTTACTTTAATTAGTCATGCTATTTATGTTAATAAACGTCGCGTCGCGTCGGGCGAAAGCAGATTTTATACACCTGTATAAATATGTAAATAAAATACGTGATCGTTTAAAAAAGAATCAAAATTAGCTGCAATATGTTATGAGCTGGGCTACACAATTCAATGAAATATTTCTATCTACAATTTCTATATCAAGGAACAAACATCTTATCGCTTATTTAATCCGAAAAGCCCAAAAATTACTGAACTTATTTTATTAATTCTTTAACTGCTAGAAATCATTTTTATCGTTGATTTAAATAGACTATTTATTCAGAATATCATAAATATTATGCAATTATCCGAAGCAAAGATGTTTCCAAAACATACATTGTACAATTATGTATAGTCTTCGAAACGAAACAAGCGCAAAACCTGAACAAACTTCATTGGAAGTAATTTATTTTTACGCAGATAAAAAAGAAACGCTACTAAATCCAAGAAAGTTATAATAGACGAAGTATCTCCTACACTCAATAGTTAAAAAGGGTCTTGACAGACATACAGACGCACAACAAAGTGATCCTATAAGGGTTCCATTGTTTTCCTTTTGAGGTACGGAACCCTAAAAACCGCAATCTTTGGATGTAAAGGTTAGACAGACAAAAAACAAGAGATTAACATGGCACCATATAATTAGGTTCTGTCGTGATGAAATAAAAAATAAAACTAATAATTATTTAATCGTGTTGTGACTATTTAATTCCATTTTAATAGTCCATTTTATAGCATCGACAATAATAATATAAACGAAACATGTGACCATTCAAATCTTTATTTAAAAATCAGCATAGAAATCAGAATAACTATTCTGATGTTTAATTAAACGATGAACAGAGGCATTGAGGAGGGGCCTCCATAAGTAGATTAATTCGAACTGATAATGATGGTGGTAATATTAAATTTCAGACAATGTGACTTGTGGCGACAATGAGGTGTTTAATGATTGTCCTTCTTTGAAATGCGAGTTTTGTCCCACGTCCGATGCAGAAGCTAGAGCATGTCTAACTGACTCACAAGATGTCTGTCCACCAGCTAAGTGCACTTGCAGGAATAACTACAGGAGACTGCACAACGGTACCTGCGTACCGACGAGAGAATGTCGTAAGTATAATGGTATACTTGATAAATTATCTACATCATTTGGAACAATAAATGAGGCCTAAAACTAACCAACTTCAGTCTGGTTCTCTAATTTGATCAGTTAAATCTTAATCTTTGTCTTGAGACGTCTAAATTGTCTCTGAACATGTAAAGAGACAGCTATGTCTATGATATTATTTGTTATGCTTTACACAGCTTCGTTCAAATGCCCTGGGGTAAATGAACAGTTTGACGCATGTCCTGTATGCCCCAGTGATAATTGTACAAGAGCCACAGCCAACGGTACCTGTCATTTTGTCGGCCGTATAGGAATATTACTGCAGTGTAGGCCATCTTGTAGATGCAAGAAGAACTATTGGAGAGACGGAGATCGTTGTGTTCCGTTTGAAAAATGTCCAAATATTAACAGTAAGTTACACAAAACAAACATATTATTTAATTGGATTAGGATATATGTAACATATTATTTATCATATGCGTTATATTAGTTCTTACATATATTATAAGGCTATCATCGGATTTTTCTGGTACAATTAATGTTAATAAACGACAATGATTTTTATCTTAAAAAGTAAATAGGATAAGACCCTGTCCTATACTCTCAAACAGTCGATATTGTTGTCATAATTGTTTTGATGTTCATACACTTCTTTGTCTTTTTAATCATGTTATATACTGTAAAACTAGTTACTTATTGTTACTTCCATATCAGAAGCTGCTAATTGCACTGGACCCAACGAAAGTTTGCAGTGTGTCAGGTCATGTCCACCGTTGGCGACATGCGACAATCGCAACAAAACTTACCACTGTCCCATCAATAAATTTGGACCTTGTTACTATAAATGTGCTTGCAACAAAGGATTTTATAGGAACGCTGATGGATTTTGCGTCACCAATAATCTATGTGGTAAGTACAATATTTGTTAATTTTAGTGATTTTTTTATTCCTGTCAATATTCATAATTTTAAAAGATAAAAAACCAAGCAGTGACTTACCATATCACTCTTTCTCAAATTATACTAACGATGTAACCTAAATATTTAGTTGTAGGAGTAACAAAGTCCTTGTCGAAATTTATCTGTCCTTTTAGATAAGAAATGCAATGACCCGAACGCGGAGTATAAACCCGACAAAAAGAAATGTCCATCAGATTTATGTAGCTCCATTGTATCAAAATTTGCGTGCAATCCAAACGAGCTAGGGCAGCCGGGGTGCGTCTGCAAGTCAGGCTTTTTGCGATTGAATGAAAACTCTACCTGCATTCCAGCGAACCAATGCCCTGAAATGGGTAATGCACCGGGTAATAATCTTAAGTTTAATTTCGAATAACACGACCATGTGTAAAAACCAAAATATTTTTACAGTATGTAGTTTTAGACATTATTAGTTAGAATCCTTTGGTTACAAAATCCAATGTCAATGATTAGTGAGGGGACATAAATGCCGATATTTTAGTAAGGCTAGTATTGCGCCAGTACACCGGCACAGTGTCGGATTTTCTTCCTAACAGTTGTAAGTAAATGTTACGAACTAAAGTTTGTTTGCGAGTATCTGAAATAGAAAAGTGTATGCAGCCGATAGACATCAATAAAAACTTAGTTTGCAGATGCCTTGTTTGAGAGAAGGAAGAATTCAGTCTGTTAATCCAGCAGCTAATACTGCTGTTGTGTCTACCACAGTAAAAATGAAAATTTACGTTTTTCAGATAAGAAATGTACCGGTCCTAACGAGGAATACAAAGCAGACAAAAAGTCATGTCCGCCTGAGATATGTCGGTCTATTGTAGCGAGGTACAAATGTGATTCAAAAGAAAAGGGCCAACCGAGCTGCGCTTGCAAACCAGGATTTTTGAGATTGAACCTAAATTCAAGTTGTATCCCAATGGAACAGTGTCCAGAATTACAGGGTTCACCTGATTATAGTAAGATTAGATATATGTGTTATTTAACATATTATTCTATAAACTTTTAAATATTCATATGACTACCGGTTTTCAGATAAACCTAAATGCACTTTGCCGAACGAGAGCCTAAAATGTGTGAAGTCTTGTCCGCCGCCGAAATCCTGCAAAAACCGTGGCGCATTATTTCGTTGTTACCAAAACGACACAGAAGTCTGCCAAAACAAATGTATTTGTGATGCCGGATTTTACAGAAATGGAGACGGATTCTGCGTAACGAGCGACCTCTGTGGTAAACAAATGTTGAACAAGATTTAATTTTTTCTTTTTGCCTGCCAGTAAAAGTTGATAATTTTTGTAATATAACATAGATGTATTTCTGTAAAGATGTTAAAGAATGTAAATGCCAATGCAAATGTGAATGTAAACATTGCTGTGACTATGTCGTTTTTCGTACTCATACATGACAAGCCATGTTTATGTAAATAAAAATACGTGTTATTTTTTTAGACAAGAAGTGTACCGGACCAAACGAAATATATAAGCCAGATAAAAAGAAGTGTCCTCCCCAGACTTGCCAATCTAAACTAGCTTTGTACAAATGTGATGCTGAAGAGAAAGGTCAGCCGGGTTGCGTCTGCAAGCCTGGCTATTTAAGATTAAATGTTAACTCGACTTGTATACCGTCGGAACAGTGCTCAGAGTCTCCAAACTGTGAGTGGATTTCTTTTTGCATAATATCGACTATTATTTTCCTTTTTACTAATATAATAAATGCTAATGTTTGGGTGAATGGATGTATAGATGGATGGATGTTTGTTTAAAGGTATCTCCAGAAATGGTGGGATCCCGCTGAAATTTGGCATAGATGTAGAACATAGTCTAGAAGAACACATAAATTGATACTAATTTAGTTTTTTTAGTCCCGCGCGGTGGGAGTCGAGGACGAGGGCTAGTTTTTATAATCACATTGGACCAATGCTCTTATAGGGTCAGAGCTATTGTTAAATAGAATCGTCGTAGATATGTTTTTTAATGACACATAATTTCTCTCCTTAACATGATCTTTATCTATTTTTACAGCAAGTCCACTAAATTGTTCTCTTCCCAATGAAAGTTCGCAGTGTATTAGATCTTGCCCTCCTTTGAATACATGTGACAACCGAAATAAAACCTACCACTGCCTTGTCAATGCATCCGCGCCTTGTAAACAACAGTGTGCTTGCAACAAAGGCTTCTATAGAAACTCCGATGGTTTTTGCGTCACCAATGAATTATGTGGTAAGTTTTAATCGCCATATCGAAAATGATTATGTGTTATTTATACAAATATGTATACGTCGATAACTTTAAGTATTAATTCTGTTAGGAAGAAAATTCGACACTGTGCCGGTGTATAGGCGCAACACTAACCTTATAAAAAAACAACGTCTGTCCCCTCACTAATCATACTGACATATGACTTGGTAACGAAAGCGCGTCATTCTCTCTAATTAAATCTAACTAATAATGTCTAAAAATTCTTAGAATATAAATAACTTTAGTCCAGTGGTTTACAATATGAAAAAGATATTAATTTAAGTGATAAAGCAAATGTTTAGGGATCGATAATAATTAATTATGTTTCATTGCTTATTTTAGATAAAAAGTGTTCTAGTCCTCATGAAGTCTTTACGACTAATAAAAAGGAATGCTCTCCTGATATATGCAGCTCCATTGTATCAAGATACGCATGCAATCCCAACATCACAGGTGTTCCTGGGTGCGTTTGTGAGTCAGGCTATTTAAGATTGTCACTAAATTCGACTTGCATTCCAATGAATCAATGTCCCGAACTTGCTAATGCACCTGATTATGGTAAGTAACACATTATTTTATTAGTTACTAGCGGTCGCACGCGACTCCGACCGCGCGGTATTAAAAATAGATGTTGGCCGATTCTCAGACCTATTCAATATGCTCACAAAATTTCATGAGAATCGGTCAAGCCGTTTCGGAGGAGAATGGGAATGAAAATTGTAACACGAGAATTTTATATATAAGATTTGTGCATATGAGCTAGCGGAAAACGAGCGTAGCTTTGGTATGTTCTTACATACACTGAGTTGGATACATTTTAACACATTTTTGTTGTTTTGTTTGATTTTATGAATTAAACAACTATGAAGTAAACTTTGTGACTAACAATTCTTTTGAGTTCTAATTAATTTCAGATTTTCATAGATTTAATAAAAATGTTTCTTATATTTACAGATAATGGATGTTCCGTACCAGATTCCGAGTCAAATGAGGACAGTTATCCTGTTGAATTAGAAATAGATTATTGGCAGTTTGTAGAAGTATCACCGAAGAATCAAGATATCAAAGATGAAGAATTTGATGAAGATAATACGAATAACTGAACAGACACACAGTTCAAGAACCTTAATCAATTTCTAATAAAGTTATTGCATTTAAGTTGATGTAATTATTTCATAACGAACCAATGAAATATAAACGTAAACGTATTATTTTTTAATAGGTTAAGATGTAGATAAGCTGTCTGCCGTAATGTAGAGTTATCACCAACGCTCATGTCCGTGGCTGCAAAAATAAAGTGGGTATTGTCTATGAAAATTTTCTAAAACCCTGAGGAGTAACGTACTTGCTAGATTTATAACTGTCTAATTTTTGCATTTAATATCAACAACAGAAATATTCAATAAATTCGGGTTTAATTTCTTTCACGTAAAACAAACACAGAAGATTCCAAATGTGTTAAGATAACAATTCCCGGCGGAAATTGTTAAAGTTGGATGGATATAGTTAATTACGGATGTCTAATCTACTAAAATAAAGCAATTGTGTTACTTAGTAAACGTATAAAGTTAATTGATGGGGAAAACATCACATTAGTTAGTTAGGTTCGCTATCAACATGCGTGTCTATATGAGTTTTGTTTTATGCTGCACATTTATGTTCCTTGTTAAATATGGTTCGGCAGGTAAGTAATTTTGTTATATTTTTTTGGTACGACTTATGCTCGGTTTAGTAACTATTTTATACAGTTTAATACTTAAATTGTAGAATTAAAAATAATTTTACTTGATAGAATGACCAAGGATAATATCAAAGTAAATACTAGTCTAGTTTTATAAATCCTGTGTCTCCTGGATTTCAATAGCTCGAAAATACCTTACTATTAGCTTAACACCAGGCTATTGGAGGATTAGACCAGGATTTTGTACCATTCTTTAAGTTTTTAGTGATTCTGTAGATCATCAGGAGATTATTATCAATGAGTTTTTAACTATTACGGATGAATGGATGCATGGGAAGGGAAAATATTTTCTTTCTGTGCATCCCCTCCTCCGATTAAAGTTAGGCAACGCATGTGAATTTGCGTATGTCCATGGGCAACGGTCGTTTCACTATTTCAGTGATTTCAGGTGGCTGCTTGTTCATTTGCCACCTTATAATATAAAAAAAAACATATTCTTCAAGGACATAACCTGTAATACTTAAATATTAACTATATGTTCTTTAATCTGTGACATAGTTTTATGAGGAAACAAATAATAAATTATATTGAATTTAATTACATACAAATGTTTGTTATTTTATTTGTTAAGGAAAAATTATATCGACTATTATTTATTTATTTATGTACTATATTGTTTACGTTCTTATTATTTCTACTGATCTATATTGTAAAATATAAAAGACGACCTTGTGTTCGCACTGGCATAACATTCACATATAAACATGTTGATATGAGAAAATTACAATATGATTTTTTATGTGAATGTTTTGAATATTTAAACTCATTGTATCTTTGTTTTATAACAAAAAATAGCTGTCGTTCGCGACTCTGTCGGCGCGAAATTAAAAAAACCTTAGTAGTCTAAATGTTCTTCCAGGCTGTTTTCTACATCTATGCCAAATTTTAGCAAGAATTATGCAGCTGTTCTGGAGATACCTTCAAGTAAACATCCATACATCTTAATAGTAAGATTGTGTTAAGAAATCTGTTATATTTGGTTTTTTTTTCAGACCCTATGAGATGCTCGAAACCAAACGAAATATTAGACTGCATGTCTCCTTGTGCTGAAAAAACTTGTCAAACTCGTAACACCGAATGTACGAAAGAAAGTTTTGGTATTTGCAGAGTTAAATGTGTTTGCAAAAATGGATTCTATAGAGATACTAATGATAATTGCATCTCCGTAAAAGATTGTGGTTAGTACAAAAATTTTTTTTTTTTACTTTTCTTTTTTGATACTGTTTTAATAAAAAAATTTTTTTTTAGATTACCAAGTACACAGGAGTTGAAAATATCTTAATAAAACTTCATGAAGTATCTTTAATTCATTTATAACAAAACTACTATTTTTTAGATTAAAAATGATATTACACAAACATAGATCCAAGAAATAACTATCGTGTATCATAATTACGGTATAACCTTGGGTTTTCATAGATAAAACACCTAAGGGAACATACCCACGCTACGTGACCTTTTTTTTAGTTTTTTCGACCCCTTCCTCGCCTCGGTGACCACTCGTAGTGCATGCTAAGACCCCCCCCCCTCCCCCCTTACTTTTTACGTAGTAATTCATAATTATGATTTTTAAAAATTTCACAGGCAAAAGTTGATAAAAAAATATAATTTGGCTCATACTCTTCTTTATAGCATAAGACTGCATACATACATAAATTACTTATGAAAAAATTACAACTAACGACTACGTGACTAAAATCTGAGCCCCGCTCCTGTGACTGACCGTAGTATTTTAAGGACTCCCC